TGGGTGTGTATTATATATATATATATATATATATATATATATATATAAATATATACATATATAATCTTAGAAATCTTAGAAACTGTGATCAATTAAAATTTCATTACGCTGTAGAACAAAATTCTTAGAGATGGATGTTTGAAATCCTGTCAACAACATAGCTTTGGGAGCCAAATTGTGTATTAAATGAGGGGAAAGAAAACCGATGGCGAAAACTGAAGATTAGCCATAAGTGTAACGCTGGAAAGTTTACCCAGTCTTACACCACAAGCTGAATGCATGCACACGTTTACTCATTCTCCCCATCTGGTTTTTGACACCATGACAAAAACTCCTAAGACTATGCCTTCCCCCAAGTTAAAGGGCTTGTAGATTTGAAAGTATATTGTGTGGATGGGATGGGTGAGATAAGTACGGATTTGGTGGTATTAGGGTGATATTCATTACAATACCAACAATTCGCACACGTGAATTCCGTACATATTATTTGTTGTGTATAATTTTATTGCTAGCACAAAAGTAAAAAAAAAAAAAAAAAACTCTCATTTTCTCTTAGAGTACTTCTTTAAACAAACATTTATTGGACTATAGTTATAATAGGAGAGCTATACCTTGGCCTCATATAATTTAAAGGAAGTGCATGGCAAGACTTTTACAAACACGTGGACAAACTTGTTAGTTTTAATGAGTACACATGTAAGGTAGATGAAGAAAAGCTTTCTACATCGCATCATAGGTTTAACCTTCTCTAAAATTCTAGCAGCAGTTAAAAAGCTGCTCCAAATCGTTGTTATTATTTAGCTCCATAAAACCTAAGAGCTGCAGTGGCAGTGGATTTGGCTACTGCATCCACTACAAAAAAATAAAAATAAAAAAATAAAAAAATTGCGGCAGCTAAATTATATCGGTTACGATGAAAAAATCATCATTTTTACAATTTAGACAGTTTATTAATAGTTTTAATCTCGTAGATAAAACACTTGTCGATAATTTAAGAACAAACTGAAATTCCAAATCATTTAATTACTGACGCATAACCGACGATTTAATATCATAGTTTTTTTTTTGTAAAATTTCAAATTGTCACTACCCGTCGGTTCATATCATATTTCTGACAGTTGATCTGTATGTAATAGCGACGGCTTTCATGTCAGAAAAGTGTCGCACCCATTATTTTTTTTACGCAGTTTTTCCTTCGGTTATAAGTCACTAATGCTTCGGTTATATAAACCGACAACTAAACTGCCAGAAAAGTGTCTCACCGTTGTATTCAGATGAATCAAGTGTTTAATCAGTTTGGTGTCTCTAATCCATTGATTTTATAAATTGACGGTTAATCTGTCAGAAAAGTGTCACGTCCGTCGTTTTCGTGTCACGTGCACAAGCCGCCGATTCTGTCTAGGATAGACGTTGGTGAATAAGTCTATCGGCTAGCCATCAGTTTTTTCTACGGATATGTTGAAAGTGGTGGCAAACTCGATAGTAAGCCGTCAAAAACCCGTAACATCATGATAAAGAAAAATCAGATTCTCTATTTTATATTTATATTACCACACATGTTATCACAAAATCTAATATACATTCAAAGCATTTAACGAACTAGAATAATAATTGAACAACAAGTTATCCAATCAAAAAACAATATAAATCAAATGCGTTTACTCTCAAAATATGTACATCAATGTTCACAAAAATAATAAATGTTCAAATGTACATTATAAACTTAAAAAATAAAGAAAAGGAAAAATATCATTCGTAATCTTCCTTCCCTATCTCCTCATCCTCATAGTCCTCCGTCTCTTCCTCCTTCTCCAATGCTGCCTCACTACACTGCATCATCCGCTACCAGAATGAATCTAAGTCGGCCTTTAGCTTGGCCTCCATGTTGGCATCCAACTCCGACCTCATCTGAGTGACGTGGACCTCCATCTCGATAACGAATGTGGCAACCTGCCTAGAGATCTCCTAGTCATGTGTGGTAGAGGTGGAAGCTTAAGATGCATTAGTGGGGGGGGTGTGGGTACTAGGCAAATCCCTGAGACCCAAGTCTGTAGACTTGACCCTTCATCTTCCTTTCAACAACCTCTTTCCACTGGTCGTAGTTGGAAGGATCACGCTTGCAGATCATAATACCTCCCGACACCTGAGATCTGTTCTCCTTCATCTACTGTAATCTCTCCTGTAAAAATGAATAGTTACATTCAGTTACAACTAGCATGTATTAATATCAACCTAGTTTAGCTCATGAATTACCAGGGTTGCACTGGATTTGTCATTGATCCATGATTGTTCGGACTACCTCTGATGGATGCACTCATGTACATCGATGACGGAGGGCTCCTGTCTCATTTTCATAGTCTGTCCAAATAAAAAAATAGTTAGAATACATTTTTGAACTATAAAAAATTTTAAATTATGAATGAAATTTTACCAGCCACCACTTGTATTATATATGTGCGAGCGCCCCACTAGTGTGCTCGGAGGACCTCAAACCTTCATAGTCCCACCATCTGTTTTGTTTTGCTTGCACCCTTTTTTTCTGGTAGTCCAGGAAATCTCAAGCCCTAAGTAGCAAAGCAAATACATCCTCTCAGAACTATAGAGGACATTCCCTTGTGGTCGAAGTTGCGCCGGATGTGTGCCTCGTGCTCAGGGCACCAGAAAAATTATTTATTCAAAACTACAAAGATTATGTTCGTCTCATGCATAAATAAAAATAACTTGACACATTGTGAGAAGAACTAGATGGAAAAAAATAGTGTATGAAATGGTTGCATAAAGCCTCTCATCTCAGTTCTTAAATTATTCAACTCCACCTCAAGTCGGACAACTCGAGCAAAAACTGCTTCCCTATTGCTCTAGCCTGTAGTGGTGTTTTTATGCGAAAAAAATCGGTTAAAGTAACTCCAAACTCATATGTCCAAACTCTACCTGGGTATTCAGGACCCATGACTTACAAGAACACCCTCTTATTCTCCTTTATGTTGTCATGCTCAGGTGTTAAACCTTCTTCTGCAAGGAGATCGATCATAAGCCTACACCTAAAGCGCATGTTCGTAATTAATTTTAATTTTGAAAAATAAAATTATCAATATACATAAGTAAATTTAATTTTACCCATAAGAGTGTTGCATCTTTGGAAGAACATAATCCATTTATGCATTCTGCCTATCTGATCCATTATTGTAATGAGTAGTGTGTAACCTACATAAATAAAACATATTAAAAATTAATATATAATGAGTTAGTAAATTATTCTTCATAATTATAATCTATATCATACTTTTTCATGATGTCTTACTGTAGAACTTACTCAACTCATTGAATGAGGACATGTTTGTTTTTAGGCATTTTTCACCAAGTGACTGGAGAATCCAATGTCAAATATGCCTAGGGAATTCAAATTTAAATTACCTAGGAAGATAAAAGTTAATTTAATAATTAGCTTCAATTAGTAAATAATTATGCACTATTGAACACTATCATTACCAAACAAATTATCTTTAAATTAGGGGCATTATATGTATGTATAAGCAATGAGAGGAAATACTTTTATTATATTATCATTCTTTCCGTTCTAAACAAATAAAAATCAAATTAATGAGAAAACATAAACTTTATTTACCTGAGAAATTCATCAATAGTCTTTTAATTTCATTAAAATTTTTAATCTAATTTTCTATTCAGTGGAAAATGATTTAAGAAAATTAATTTTATTATATTATCATTATTTTCCTATCCCTGCTATTCCTAAAATCTCTGCCATCACCCAAGTTGCCGAAAAATTATTCCATACGGATCGGACACCGCACGCATCTTGCGTGCAGTGTCCGATCATGACCTTAAATCAGGTGATTAACGATCAGGGTCAGGATGTATTTCGGTGGGCCTCACCTAAATTTTTTTTTATCAGGATGTATTTCGGTGGGCCCCACCTAAACTTTTGTTTTTTTAAACTAAAATAAGTCAGGATCGGACACCGCATGCATCCGTATGCAATAATAAACTAAAATAAGTCAGGATCGGACACCACATGCATCCGTATGCAATAATTTTTCCAAGTTGCCGCACTCTATTTTTGTTTTGCTGTCTATTGTGCAATTTGAATCACTAATTTGAATCACTAAAATACACATTTTTTTTTAGTGGGAACCGC